ATATCCCCTTCTAAGTGATAAGGCTCAGCGGATTCTAATTCCATTTTTGACGTCGTATTTGTGCGAAGCTAGGTTTTCAGTGGTCATTGTAATAAAAAGCAAGTATAGAGCAAAAATCTACTTGGAAAAGGAAATGAGGGTGGTCGTGTCCAGTTTAATTCCACGATTTGAGAAAATGTGCATTGATTTGCAGGCTCATTCATCACATTAATTATTAAATATTAATGTAATGTTAATAAAGTAAAAAAATAATGGAGATACACGAGTTTTATTTATTTTTATCTCTTACTTACGAATAGTCATGTATAGGGTAGGGCGCCATGGGAAAATATTAATTGAAAAAGGGCGCCGCAACTAGGAAAAGTTTGGGAACCACTGACGTAGACCAATGCTCACTTTTATTTCGAGAGTTAGTATTTGGTGAAGAGGTTTGAGAATCGATCCTACCAGAATACAACGGCGTTTGGTTTTACCGGAAAATTCTGGTTGTTTCAGTCACCGAGGTTCAGTTAAACACGTCATAAGCTTTTGTCTGTTATATCACGGAAATCCTCAGAGTGGGGTATCTTGCTAATTCAAGCTGACATTTGATTAGCACAATTTCACTGGAATCGGAGGAGATTGCTTCGAGGACAGCGTCGAGTAGAATATTTTATTAAGGCGCTTCGATAATTGGCCAAGGCGAATCCGAGGTCGGTTCCTGAGTGAGATAACCTTCTACTACATTAATCTGACGCTTTCATTGGAAATAAAAGTGAATTAAATAATTTCGGGCATAAAGTCTCTTTTTCAAAACCAACCTGTTTCGTTCAGAAGGGTGTATTTAATCTTACTTTTATAATCCCTCGTTTCTGACGGATATTTCCCTGTCCTCTAAGATTCTGTATAGGGTTTTTAGTAATTTTCTTCACTCTATAAAGATGAATAAATCATGATTAATCACTTTATATTGTGGACATTTTATGCTATAAATCTATCCAATTTGAGCTCATGCAGGCTGGATCGCCTTAGTAAATGCAGAATGATTTACTTCCAGCCGAACTATCTATTCACCTGTCAGCGCGTCTAGCCTTATCCTTAAATATCTCATCTATTTTACTCTTTTTGTGCCATATTCCATAGCTCGCCGCCGAATTTCGTCACCTCGAGTTGTCTAGCAGCCTCGGCTCCGGCTTCATGCATACGGGCACTATCGGAGTAGATTCCATCGGCGGCCTAATGGTCGATTGTGTTGGTCCGCCTACAGGAAACGCTGCCTCAGGTTTTCTTTCATCTCGACTATTTGGAATGCCTGCATCTTCGCTGAACAACCTTTCCGGTCAGCTTAGCCTGAATGGTGGCCTTGGCGGCCTTGGGAATCTGCCTGATCTCCCCCATTACTCCTCCCTACTGTTTACCCCTCGTACTGTCAAGGGCAGCGGTGTCAGTCTCAATTTCGGAAGTCACATTAAATGCGCCGAGCCTGCATTCGGCCTCCCAGTTCATCTTCTATGTGCCTCCATCTCCCGAGGCCCTTCGTCAACGGAGGCTTTTAATCGCAAAGTCTTTCAATGTAGCGGACTTCAGCCCAGCATAACAGTAACTTCTGCTCCTTCTTATGGACCCCTTATAGTTGGCGATGGACAGGTTGTAGGGAATGAAGTGGATGAAGAGGAAAATGACATAGAAAGATACAATGAATCAGCTATCTGTCCGACAAAGGAAATCAAAACAACGGCCACTGCATCCTTAATTCGAGCCGCTGACTCGCTGAAAGGGACACCCAGGCTGGCCGACCACCGATCCGAAGAGTTTGCTTGGCCCAGTAGCTTGTTGGAGCAGAAGGCCGGTGGAGCAGATTCGCTGGCTTGTATGTTAATGCTTTACCATTTGGACAGGAACGAATGACGTCAATTTTTTATGGATGGATAGATGTATGAGTAACTATGAATAATGGGTTACAATTATTAATCGACTGATGCATTTGCATGTGAATTGTTGCTGAGTTATTAGGAAAGTAAGAGGGAAAGAGAATGTCAGACCCAGTTCACTACTTATCCATAATTTTTTAAGGATTTTTACCAATTAGCATATTCATCGTCCATCCAACAAATAAAGACGCACTTATCTTCTAGTGGATGGTTCGAGGAGGGCAAAAACTGTTGTGATAATAAACTTTTTTCACTCGGCTACGATTCTGGTTATCTGATGCGGGTAAAGTCGACCGAAGGGAACATTCAGACTAGAAATTCAATAATAAGTTGGTAAGTTGTTTAACCTTGTTTTCGCAACTTGGTCATATTGGTAGGAAGACTTAGAGGAACGCACCCAGTCCGGAGTCAATTGTATGTATGATAATTTTCAAAGTCAAACCGTGGGCATGGTACATTCCCAGACATTTCGCCGGAATCGTCAGTGAGTCTTGCAATTCTTAGTACCACACAACAATTCGTCAAAGA